GATTGTAGCTTTAGCTATCTTATTATTCTTTTTTAACCCAATAACAAAATCAAGATACTTTTCAGGCCAAATGATGTTTTATTTCAGTTTTTCGGTGATATTTCAGCCATCAAAAAATAAACTCTAACACATGTGGATGGAAGACTTTCTACAATGTTACTAAGTGGGAAAATCTCTTTTGACTCCAGGATTTTGATCGGAGCGTCATCTTATTTTGTATGTATAATTCATCCAATAAGTTAGGAAGAAGCATGAGGAGCTAGAACATTAAAGTGCTTTTCATTTCTGAGCTGGAATCATATCAGTGATGCACTGGCCCTTTTCAAGGCGTTTCTCCATTTCAATCAGCAGCTTTACACCATCCACCACCATCTGCACCAGCTCTACTTCAGAGAACCCCAGACGGTCAGCATTGGAGATATCAAATATTCCCCCCACAGCTGCTGTGTCCACACCACCTAAAACAAACCAAAACAGAAGTTAGGAACCAAAATTAAAAGCTCTGTGATACAGTGAATATATAGTTAAATTAGGATCAGATTCAAATTCAAATAATTACAGTATACACACAGACTTCTTATTCCAGCATGTTTGAACAGCGCTACTTTACAAGCATCCAGTCAGCATGTTTATTTTAAGAATTATGCAGGATAGTCTTAGGATCACAGAATGAGGATTAAATCCATGTTGCTTATCTGGATGTGCCTCCTTTCAAACAGCTTCTAGTAAGGAAAAGCAGCACGTAGTTCCTAAATTCCAGAAGTGAATTGTGCATGTGAGCTATCAGACATTAAGGGAGTCATATCATTTGGGCCATGCCTTTGAAATATCCTACATCAAAACTAAGCTGCTTTAGAATACATCTCACCTCCACAACAATATACCACAGTGGTCTTGGAAATTCAGCCTTTATGTTTTTTGAGTAGACTCTACTTGCCAGATAGGGTGATCCCTGCTATGAGGCAGAAGGTAGCGCTATAAATTGGGTCACGTTCCTATTTACAGTATTCTCATATTCTACCACTAGCAGAGCTGTTTCATTCTGCCTAAAGTAATTGTTTCTCCAGAGCAGTTCTGAGGTCCAGTCCTAAACAGCTGCCCTTTATGCATCACTTGAGTCATTTCTCAGAATGACGGGCAACGTGAAGAACCCATGGAGGCTGCCTGAACAAGTAGCCATCATAGCTACCTCAACATGGCATGGAGCCTGGTTTCCTGGGGGACTGCTTACCTTTGATGCCACTACTTATCATCTGCCTGGCTAATTTAGTCTGGCTGGGGTGGCCCACATTACGGTTTCCTTCAATTAAACAGTAGGAGAATGCCAGAAGCTTTATAGCAATACTTGCTCTGCAGAATAGGTTTCCCCCGAGATCTGGATGTCTCCTGCCCTACTAGTGTTACAATGGGGCTTCAAACCCTTCCTCTTCTTCCAGGCCTTTAGCAAAAGCGAGTGAAGACACTTAGACTCTTTCTTTCCATTTCAGTCAGGTTCTGTCATCTTGATATCTTTTATTCCTTATTTTTGTTTGACTGTTTTATTTGTAAGCCACCAAGTCATTGGGAGTTGACTCTTGACAAACTACATATAGGGAAATAGTGATAGACAGATCTTGCTCAGAATGATGCCTAAGTAGTGTGAACAGCAATGTTGCTACTGCTACTCAGGAAATCAGAAGAATTATCTTCTCGTTTTAAGTAGGGGTTCAGCCCCATGGATTCAGAGAGCAAATTTCTTTGGGCGGCTACGTTACCAGATATATTGGGGCTACAGAATTCCCAGAATTCTTGGCCAGCATATCAAAAATCTTTTTTGTAAAAAGCTGCCTGATGTCTGCTAAGACTTCAAAGTTGAGGGCTGTCGGAATGAGATTATAGGACAATCTGCGCTTAACTATTAATATCTTGACTCTGCTGAATAAGTATCAATCAGATGGCATTTGCCAACTGGAGGGGCAGAAATGTTTCTTAAATACAGATAGACGTAGTACAAAATCAGGGATGTCACCCAAAGCCAAATTCTCATTGTTAGAGAGAAAGAAACTGATTATAACTCTAAGTAATGCTAGGATCTTGTACTTAGTAGCTTTTACATTAAAAAAAATATTCCCTGCATACAAAAAGCTAGACTATTTAATGCGAATGTTTATCTTTTTAAAAAATCTATCAAAGACTCATCTGTTTGTATTATGACCTTCCCCCAGCCATTTTGTTTAAACTGATTTTTATTACATTTTAAAATGCCTCTCAGAGGTTGTTTAAATGGGTTTTATTGTATGTTTATCGTTCACCATAATCTGGCCCATGAGTCCTGGACAGAATGGTCCACTGATTTCAAACAAGTAAAACAAGCACCACCCATGCTTCCTTTCTCACCTGTACCACGTTTCTGCAGCCTCAGCCTCTTGAGAATATCTCCAAATTTCTCATGTTTGCTAAGATTAGGCAATTTAACATGAACTCCCCCCCGGAGACCTGTGCCAAGGTTGGATGGGCAAGTCAAGATGTATCCCAGATGAGAATTCCACATATATTCATAGTTTTGGGATTTGAAAAGTGCTTCAAGCTAGAGAGAAATACAGAAAGTTATAAAGAGCTTCTTCATTTCACAAGTTGGAAGAAAATTGAAGAGATCTTTCATGGTCAGCAACACAACAATACAATTTATTTATTTATTTTATTTATTTATTTTATTTATTTATTTTTTATTTATTTTTTGGATTTATATCCCGCCCTTCTCCCGTAGGACTCAGGGCGGCTGACAATCTATTTAAAATACATACAAAACAATACAAATTTAAAATTAATTAAAAGGAATATTTAAATATTTGTCGAATTTTAAAATATAATTAAAACCCCCCTAAAAATTACCCTAGGCCAGTCCTGCA